ATCCATATCCAAGACATGTCTGGATTGATCAAGTCCAAACTTCACACACACATGGTACATCATGTCACAAATAGATACGTGCATTTGTTTTGTGATCCGATTAGCTGAATGATGGCCATTTTAAGGCCGAAAATGTATCAAAATCACGTATTTTCCCAATTCCGGAACCGGATCTCAGTCATGCATGTATAGATTTTGTTCAGATTTAGTACAATGTGTTGTACATATGCAGGTGCATTTCGGTCATGATCTGCTTTGAATGTATATGTCACTCAAATATGAACGGAACGGGGACGTGTCATTGACAATGACTTGTGTCACTTGTATTTTTCCCGGCTGAACAAAAAAATAATAATAGGGAATAATATATTATTACCTCACTGTATTCACTTATGTTATAGTAGTCAAATAAAATTATTATTATATATAGAATATATTTTTTCAAATGTAGTTTCTCACCCCCTTGGCTATTATCGTCGAGTTTTTGTCAAACTGTGGTAAAACAAAACCAGAAAAAAACATTAAAAAAATATATTTCATATAAATGACTTTTAGTTAGAAGTAGTTACTTCCTACCTTATTTAGACATTAAATTTAGTACCTCAAGGAAATCTTTCTTTCCTACTGTGCCATGAAGATATGTGTAAAATTAAAACAACATTTTTGTTTCAAGACAAACATGCTTTTTGATATTTACCTTAAAATTGGTTATTAAACCAATTTTACTGTACTTCTGTGAAATCTGGTCAAATGAAAATATTTCAACATTCAAATTAACAGACTTCACCATGGCTATAGACTTGTTGCATAATAAATTTTGTAAATATAATTACAAAGCTGAAACATAAACAATGCTTATTAATTGTCTAATTTACATGATAATAATTTAGCTAATTTTTAGCTGTTCCTTGACTCTTCCACTCATATCTAATATATCACATAGTTTAGGTTAAACTCGATGCATATTAATTACCAAATTTGCATACTAATTAGCCAACTTAAAGCATTTTCATTTGTTTCTCAAAAACCATTTCAACGGATTTTAATGAATCTTTTTACAATGTGTTGGCATTTTTGTTTCAGTGGTAAAAGTAACTGTAGAGACATGAATAGGTGTGAACTCCCATGTTAAATATAAACCTCTGCGATGTATGTAGAATAACATAGAATTAACACACTGATAATAAATAATTACAAAGGTGATTGAACCCTTCATTTCTCTGCATGTGTAAACAAAGCTATAGTTCTGTGTTAAGGGCTAAGATTATAGAGTGGATTACGTTACAGTGAACAATGGCAAACCAAAAAAATCAAAAGTATGTACGCAATATAAACAACATCACCTGGACAATGATTGACAGTATTATAAATGCAAATAATTTACCACTCAAAAAAAGATCTGGTCAGTAAAACAACAAATAAATACCAAATATGGAAAGTGATAAATATTCAGGTCAAAGGTCATTTATTTGTGCAACTATATTAGTATGTACATACTGGTAGTGTTAATAAAAGTGAAAGATGGTATAATGACTGTGTACATATTGGATATAATTGAGAAGAGTTAGCGTTGTTGTTTTATTCCTTCTGTGTGTTTCTTGACAGTATTCATTTTAATGGCTCGATATAGTCTAGTAAGTCACATACTAGTACCATTTCCATGGTTATTAATTACGGTATTTGTTATCCCACTTACTGCATGCTAGTATTAAGTTGTTAAGGCAGTTAATTTAATTCCAGTTAAGTGTAATAGTAATCAGCAATAGGTTCATTACTATTGATTGCAGAGGAACTATTTTTTTGTTAAATGATGTTGTTTATGATTTTATCATAAACAGTTTATATAGAATACATATTCATCAAGTCTGTTTTGTTATCTTTGTTTGTACTTGTGTTTTGCATCCTGACTGAGCGCGATGTCCCGATGACATGTACACCTCTACCATCATATTTTCTTTCCTCAGGGCTATCTTTGTATGCTATTTTTATTGCTACTCTATTCAAATATTTTACATGTTGAAAACATTGAGTCTCACACTGATGCACACTCAGAGAAGAATTTCAATTGATTCACAAATAATTCAAACAATTTTGTTATATCATATAAACTAGTATAGATTTTATGACTGGACTTGTTTCAAGTTATGGTTTGTGACATACTAGTACCCTTCAAATTATATTAACCAATACACTGATTTCTGGAAGTATACACATGTAAGAGTAAAAGTTACTAAGGCTAGGAAAAAAAAAAATTCTCTGTTTCTCATTTCATGGAAATTTCAAAATTAGGCGGCGAGGCGTTTTTTTAAATTTTTTTTTGGAATACAGAGCTAAAATGGGGGAAATATGAGACAAGTGCGAGTACAAGCGCATTGTGGAATGCATAGTTCAAAATGATGCGCGCGGAAACGAGAAACAGTGATATTTTCTTCTCTGCCTAACGGATTATAGGTTGGTATCTATTATGTTTGTTTTTAAAGTCAATTCATTGTACCTTTATTGAGAGCAGCTTTCAAATTTTAGACCAACATGGATGGCATCAGTCACTGCATCCTTGCTGGCGGGTTTACTTTGACACAAACTATGTTTCTACAACCACAAGGGCATCTTAATTTGGGGCTTATTTCTGTGTGATACAAGACTTTTCTATTTTGTGTGGCTGCCTTTGTTTACCAACTATTAGCCACAGGCTATTGCAGGATTCAGTCACATGACTTTCAAACTGATATCAACATTTTCTGACTGTGCACCCATTACTTTATATATATAACTTTTCTGTTGTTGCTTTAATTTCAGACTGATCGCTTGGCCCAGTCTTTTGACTCGATCAGGAAGTATATGTTCATTACTGGATCAGCACTATTAGTATTCATTGCACTTCGTAACTCCCTGACATGGCATCTGCAGCGGTTCTGGGGAGCCTCAGGGAACTTTTGGCAGTACCGATGGGAGCAGGTTTATGATTACTGGGAAGGCGACGCCTGGACCTTAGCTGTGATTGGTAAGTACCATATATCTCTTGTGTTGTCCAATGTCAAAATTTCATTGTGTATTTTATTGCTATATACTGATAGAAAATTGTGTATTCTAAAGATGTAATAAAGTTATTTTTATGTTAGATTAAAATAAAAGAATATGAAGTGTATTACCAAATTATCCAAATAACAATTTTCGTTCACCATGTGCCAGAATAGGCGGAAAATTGTGCCTTTTTGGGGAAAATAAAAAATTTGAAATGATTTGCGTAGTCACTGATTAACACAACACTTTTAAAATGAAGATATAGAAATGTATATTTTATAACAGTATTATTTACACAATTTATTTACATACCTTAAGAATTTATGTGGAGAAACAGTCAAAATAGAAAGTATAGTTATTCTTGTGTCACCTCTAGGTACTGTTGTTGTGACTACCATTCCATATTGGTTGTTTGCCTCAATGTTTTTATTCATCGACTATACTGGTAAACCTGCTTTTCTGCTAAAGTACAAGACGCAACCAGAAAAAAATGCACCGGTAAATGACATTTACTGTTCCTCCAATCTTTGATAGCATTGTCAGTTCGGTATGACATTATGTTGTTGGTTATCAGGGGCTATGTCATCCATTTGATTCTGAACTATATGCTATGAGGTTATTACAAGGATACTGCGAAGTATGCAAGTAGGAGTGCAGTGAATTTATCAACTAATGTGGAGGTTAATGCGTTCCTGTTCTGTCCTATTGCATGCTTTGCGATATTATTGTGATATCCTTACTATTATACAATTCTCCTGCTTTTAGTAACAATTTAGGGAAGAGTAGGAAATCAAACGGGCGGTGCACCGCGGTGTACCGCAGAACGCCGGGGAGAGCCGCGGACTGCTTATAATTAGGGGTCTCTACCGCTGTACGGGTCTCTACCACGGTTCTCGGTAATGTGTGAAATACGTACTTAACAGTTTCTTTGTGATTCCACGAGTCATTGTTTTAAAATCCGATGCTGTAAATGAATACGATATGTGCGCTTGTTTAGTATTTAGTACATGTATTTAGCGTAAATTTCCAAAGTGATGCGATACAATTTTTCATGGTACATGTAGGTATACCTTTATTACACTGGAATAAAGTCTACAATTGAAAAGAGGACGATTTACAAAGTTTCAGCGTATCCAAAACCGTATCCTGGTTCTTGATTGATTTGACAGTATCATGTTCACCATTTGTGTCACATTCCAGAAAAAATGGCCAGCAAACGAGAAACGGGCGAACTAATCAAAACAGGTCAGGCTGTCGGCATTGCACTGACAATGACATGATTATTTTCTGTTTCGTTTCATAAATCTTGCCTTGCGCATGTATTCTTGGTTGACAGAATCTTCTTTAAACAAAAGACGATATTTTTCTGTTACATGTTCGTGTTCCATGGTACTCGTGAGCGTGTGAACCGCTGAGGTCATTGCCCGTTACTGTGCCAACCGCACGTAGTTCAAAAGAACCTGACGTTGTTTTTTTTCACTCGAAATGTAAGCGATCGAATACTCTGCGTTCAAAGTACGCTGCCCCGATTTTGAAATTACAGTAAATTGTAACGCATGGATTTTATTTACATGAAATTTAGTTTATTTCAAAATGATATAGATGTCAAACCATAATTATTATTATTTGAAATGTTGTTTCTTGACTTGACTTTTCTGGCTTTAATGTTTTGTGTGTGCGTGTTTGCTTACAATATCATTATCAACAACAGTTATTCAGTGGCCCCGTCTCGACTAAGCCGCGTAGTTATAAATTATACAAATTACTGTGTACGAAAGCAACGCAATTTCAAGTCGACAATGTTGAAATATTCACAACCCGTACGTAAACAACGGAAAATAAGTTTGCGTAATTATTACAAAGGCAACGCATTATCAAGTCGACAAAGTTTAAATATTCACAGCCAGTACGTAGACAACGGAAAATAAGTTTGCGTAATTATTGCAAAGGCAACGCATTATCAAGTCGGCAATGTTGAAATATTCACAACCCGTACGTAAACAACGGAAAATAAGTTTGTGTAATTATTACAAAGGCAACGCATTATCAAGTCGGCAAAGTTTAAATATTCACTGCCAGTACGTAGACAACAGAAAATAAGTTTGCGTAATTATTGCAAAGGCAACGCATATCAAGTCGGCAATGGTGAAATATTCCAACCAGAACGGTAACAATTTTACGTAGGCAACGCAGAGCCAGTAAAAATTTGCGTAATGGGATGTGTATAATAACAAGGTCAACGCACGGAGCGCGAATGGTCACCAAGGTAACAACCCACTTGTTCAGCGCGTGACTAGGGGTTAAACTTGGGCCAAGGTTTATTAGACTAGTCAGTTTCGCCAAGAAATGCGCTATTTTTTTCGCTGATCACCCAGTTGTTGTAGTATATATTGTAGCACCAAGTGTGTGACACTCCCTCTTCGACTTCGGCTTGCTTTTCCTACTTAGTGCATGGTCTCGAGGTAACGTAAACTGCGGCCTCTCATCGAGTGTTTTACACTTGGAACTTATACTTCGCCCGATTATATTGGTATACGCGAAACATTAATCTTTTAAAATAAATCCTGAGACCATACATGATGTAAATTCAAAATAATGTGATATTATTTTACATTATGTGAGGTCTACATTATTCTGGGTTGCTTTGCGATGTTATACCAAGACTCGTGAAAATAAAATAGTGTTCTTCTGCAAACTAATAGAGACGATTTTTCCAATCTTCTGGTACCACTCGATTTTTATTATTTAAACTTGGCGGCAAGTAACCTTTAGTTTCCCAGTCTATTGTGTCCATTCATAGTCTTAACAATAGGGTGTAAATTGCCATGCGAGCCTACCGCACACGACCGCGGTAAACCGGGGTCATGGAATCTATGCATAAATTTGCATAAAATGCGGTCGACCGGCGAGCACCCACCACCACCGCGGTAATGACCGCGGTTAACCGCGAGTTTGATTTCCTACTCTTCCCTTAATGAGAGATAACATAGCTGCAAAGAACATTTTGTTCAGTAACGGTATTCTGTTTTCATGAAACGCTGATGGCGCTTCTACTTCAGAAGTACTGAAACAAAGGAAAGTGCATGAATGTGATGTAAACATGACGCACAATCTCCAAATAAGGAAAACATTCAAATGTGTCTATAACACTGAAACATGCCCTTATAATAGTGTTTTACGGATGGGTAAATTCTACTGTTTTCAGTGTATAATAATGTTGTTTATTTCCAGGTTGATCCAGTTCGTTTTCGTAACGCAATCCTGACTGTTATATTCAACCAAACAGTTTTCTCGGTACCATTTATATGTGTAATGTACCACATCTATACATGGAGAGGTGTGGATTTTGGTCGTGAATTGCCGACATTTCAGTGGGTTATATTTGAGCTGGTTGTCTTCAACCTGGTAGAAGAGTTTGGATTCTATTACACTCACAGGTGAACTAACCACTGCTTATTTTTTTGAAACATTTTACTGATGATTCAAATAAATAATTGTGAAATGACATACCGGTAAACTTTGAATGCATGCTCAAAGTGAATTAATGAAATGGTTAGGCACTAATTCTCATTGTAGACTGAATACCAATTCAATTTTGTCAACTTTTGAATTTTTATCATAAATTATTTTAGATGCTATTTTTGGTTTGTGTGCACTTCTAGAGATGCTTGTATAACAGAACTGACTACCAAACAAATCGGAAACCTGACTGTTCCTTGTTATCCAAACATGCAGAATATATAATTGAATTGCTGTTAATGCTCTCTGTAATTGTATGCTAATCATATGCTAATTTTATGCTGTGCAGGACATTACATCATCCAGCTCTCTACAAGCACATCCATAAGTTACACCATGAGTGGACAGCACCTATAAGTGTTATATCTCTGTATGCTCACCCAGTTGAACACATCTTATCAAATATGCTGCCTCCTATGCTGGGACCACTTATAATGGGATCACATATAGCAACTAGCTGGTTGTGGTTTGTCATTGCTTTGCTATCAACCAATGTTGCTCACTGCGGATACCATTTCCCACTGTTGCCGTCTCCTGAAGCACACGACTTTCACCATCTAAAGTAAGTTGACATTCTTTTAGTATTGTGTTCAAGTGGATATAGGAATATATTTTTGAGTCTGGAGACAAATGCCATCATTGAATGCTTTAATGCTATTTACTGACAGGTAGAATTATTCATTTCATTATATTTACTGCCATTGGATTGAGCACTGGGACAGTATAATAAGGAGAGTACTAGTAGTAGGAGTGTACTAGCTCTTAATGAATGAACCATGGCATTGTGGGATACCATTGTCTCTATTATGTAATACTTGCGTTGGTCACTGACTAGCTATTTCAATTTGACCTCAAAAAGTTTCTATCCTACAAAAACGATTTTATTTTTTAATGAAGTCAAAAAAATCTTGGAGTATTTGTAGTTCTTTTTTTTCTATCCAATCATGGACAAAAATAACAGAAAATGAAAAAAAAACACATCCAAGACGAGAAAATGGTTCGGTCCAAGTGTAAATATGTGCTTCAAATACAACAACCAACTGCTATGCCATACTACTGTCCGATTATCAATTTGTATTTAATGGTGAATGTAGTCTAATGGCATGATTTCAGTGGGGGGGGGGGACTAAAAGAATTAAGTTTTTTATCCTACATTGAACTTTTGATGTTGTCCCTCAGTGCATCTGCATCTCAATAAACATATTATTTCATTGTTTCTCAGGTTCACTAATAACTTTGGCGTCCTTGGAGTATTGGATCGGCTACATGGAACCGATGAACAATTCCGTGCTAGCAAAGCTTACCAACGTCATTTTATGCTTTTATCCTTGACACCGGTATCCCAGCAATTCCCGGACAGTCCAAAGAAGAAATCAGAATAAAGCATTGGTTTACCCACGGTTACTAAAAAAGACGGTTAGGAAACGAACCATGTTCTTTTCATTGGATGCGTGTCGCGGGTAAACATTTGAAACAAAAGACGTACTAATCTGTGATAAATCATTAACATAAAATGTAGACAGGAAATCACACAATTATGACGTCATTTTCCCCAGAGTTCATTACAATCAACAACTGCATGTCATTTTATTATGTCTCTGTCGATATTTTCAGTAATACTAAAGTGTAAGTTGTTCCAGTGAATCCTGACAAAACCTGTCGCTCGGTTTAAACTCAATACAAATTCGCCTGTCTTGTATGGCATTTTCGTTTCTAAATAACAAGATCGGCAGAAAACTGAAATAAAAAACCAACAAAACATGATCAGAAAAAAAGACGTCAAAGAAACCATACAAGTGTTTATATTTCAGCCAGGCGAAAGTTTTAATGAGGAGCCATGATACCACGTACATTTTGTTGGAAATAAACAAAATATGCGATAAGATAACTGAAATGACCCGCCCATGCTCTACAAAATGCATGTAAGCAGACCAAATATGCAACAACAGGCAGTTCCAATGAAATTAAACAGTTAAAAAGGG